TAATTTTATCATTTGATTAATAATCTTGTACCTCTAAGATTATTAAGGGGAAAAAATTATAAACATATGATCTTGCATATTTTAAGGACATGCTTTAAGATTAGTGTAATCATGTAGAAAATTAATTTTACAATAATTTCAAAGTAAATCTAAGAATTTTCAGCCAATCTTGATCACTTTTTTGTTATGATGTTTTTAATACAAATTTTTTTAAAGCATTAAAAAAAAGGTCAAAAGCTGTCTCAAATAAAATCTTAGGCTTCATTTGGAACGGCTTTTTAATTGCTTCCTAGAAAGCAACTTTAGAAAGCAATAAGAAGAATGCCCCAGACTTCATTTGGGACGGCATTCTTAATTTTTGTACTAAGAATCTTCTTTAAGAAGCATAAAGAAAGCCGTCCTAAGCTAAGCCTTAGTGTTCCAACCAAAGAAGATATATGTTTCATTTCATTATAGTCTGAAGCACAAATTTTCAATAAAATCCGATCCTGAGAATTTTAGGATATTAAAGTGGAGTAAAAGCTTATTCTATCTTGTTTTATTTATGCTAATTTGATTCAATCAATAGCTTGTTAATGCTTGAATAAAAGTCATTATCCACAATATTAAATATCTCACTAATAATTTTTTCCAAAGGTTCTATAAAAAATCTCTGTCCGAGAAAAAACAATTAGGGCAACAAGATCTTGCTCTTATTCGAGACAACTTAGAGCATCAAACTTAACACCTTTGCTAAAATGAAAGACTATACAACTTAATCATCATAGAAGATAAAGTATATATATATATATATATCCAAAAACGAATATATGGAGTGTAATTTTAGCAATAATAGATCTAGTGGGGTTTTGTGACTTTGAGCAATCAAGTCATTAATAAGTGTGTACTTGTTGTAGATTGATATTTTGGGTCTATTGTTCGGAGTAATGGTGAAATAGTTGGAGATATAATTAGTAGAATTTAAATTAGATGGTTGAAGTGGAGGAATGCTTTGGGTTGTTGTGAGATAGAAAAGTACCACTCAATCTTAAGGAAAATTTTTATAAGATGGTGGTGAGACCTGCAATGCTTTATGGCGCAGAATGATGACCATTAAAAGAGAAGCATAATATTAAGTTAAGTGTTCCTTAGATGAGGATGCTCTAGTGGACGAGTGGACATACTCTTAGAGACATGATACAAAATAAGCATATCCAAGAAAAGGTTGGAGCAGTTCCTATAACATATGATTAGAGAGAGTCGCCTTTGATGGTTTGGTCATGTAAAATATCAGCCTTATGGTACGTGATCCTGTTAGGACATTAGATGTATTATATTTGGCCTATGTTAAGAAAGATTGAGGTAGATCTAAAAAAGCTTGGTTAAAAAATATTAGAAATGACCTTTCTTTATTAGATTTAAATGAGAATTTGAATCTTAAAAGGATACAATGGAGAAAAATAATTCATGTAGTCGATCCCACAATTTTAATTTTACTACTTTTAATTTACATATCGTAACCATAGCTTTTGTAGTGACATTACTTTTTTCACAGCTTATAATAATTTTTTGTCCTAGAAAATTGTTTTCCGCATCAACTTTCAAAGAACTATTTTCTCTGCATCAGTTTTACAACCACCTTTATAAAAGCAAAAATTGTCCCAAATGGACCCTTAGGCTTAGTTTGCGGTGACTTTCTTTCTGCTTCATAAAGCATTTTTTTAGTGCAAAAATTAAATTTCTTATATCAAAAAAATATTTTAGGAAACAGTAAAAAAACCGTCCTAAATGAAGTCGATCTTAATATGCCTTTACTCGCCTTTAAAATATCTATAAGGATCGAAAAGAACAAATGAACACACATTTAAATATGCATTTTATTTAAATAAATAATCATAAAATATAAACAAAACATAACAAATAAAAAAATACTAATACTCCATAATTTAGTTAGAAAAAAGATCACTAATATTTTAATATGAGAGAAGATATCCTTCAGTGGTACTGTGGAAGTGAGCTTTCAATTAAGTATGCCATAATTAAAATATTGTCAGTTCTTCCTTCTCATTAAATAGGCGTTACAGCCACGTCCACAAGCCATTTTACATTACTAGAATTTTATCATTTTATGCTATAGACCGATTCAACATTTATTAAATTTTAATTTTAAATTATATTTCTCTTCAATTTTACAATTAATAACAACAATATTATTTACAATTTTTTTCTTTATAGTCATACTTCTTAAAAAGGACTATTATATTTGTTTCAGATGGATGAGTAGCTTTACTCTTAGATACAAAATGAAAAATGAGTATATGCATGAAAAGTTTGGAGTAGCTCCAGTGGCAGATAAGATTAGAGAGAGTTGTCTTTAGATGTTTGGGTCGCATAAAACGTCGGCATTCAGATGGTCCGATTAGAAAGTCAATATAGACATAAAAAGACTTGGTTAGAAAGGTAAAGGTAGACCTCAAAAGAATTGGTTGGGTCTCATAAAACGTCGGCATTCACATGATTCGATTAGAAGAGTAGATGTATTAGATTTGGCCTATGTTAAGAAAATAATATATATTAGACTTAAAAAAACATGGTTAGAAATTATTAGAAATGATATTCTTTTTATTAGATTTGAATGAGAATTTGTTTCTTAACAAGACACAATGAAGAAAAAAGATTCATTTTACTGACCTGCATAATAAGATAAAAGCTTGATATTACTGTTGAATTGTATTGCCTTTCAAATTCATTGGATTGACTTTAAGATGAATGCAATATAAATTTTAATTAATTACTTAATTTTTAAATAAATTTAATGATTTTAATAATTTATATGATTTTTTATCAGAATATTATGATATAAAAAAATATCTTTTTTGCACATCTAAAGAATAAATAGAATTATTTTTCCTTATTGAAATTAATTATTTTTACATCCATAGCCATTTTATTTCAATAAAAATTAAAATAATCCAATTGGGAGAACTTAGTGATATTTGTCTACGTACTTGTGAGATTAGGTCAAATTCAATGACTTATATGGCTAGCTCATTAAATCTCTTTTTGCACATCTAAAGAATAAATAGAATTATTTTTCCTTATTGAAATTAATTATTTTTTACATCCATAGCCATTTTATTTCAATAAAAATTAAAATAATCAAATTGGGAGAACTTAGTGATATTTGTCTACATACTTGTGAGATTAGGTCAAATTCAATGACTTATATGGCTAGCTCATTGGATGAAAATTGATTAGTTAATATGTCACTATTAAAAGAGGATTATGCTACAACAAATGAAGACTTTCTATAAAAAAATCTCAAATTAATATTGCTTTTAAGTTTAAATTATTAAATTGCAACTTCAAATTAAATTAGGGTTTTCAATTTATGCTAAAAAAGCTTCTTTTTTGACTATTCAGATTGTTTTTAACATATTTTTGGCGATTTTAGTTCATTTTTAATTAAAAATTATTAAAAAATCTCACTCGAATTATAATTTTTAAAATAGCTTTTTAAATTAATGAAATTAAGGAGTTTAAATGGATCAAAGTTTGTTATTGGTAAAATTTATTGTTTAATATATACCAATTTCTAATATTTTTTTTTAAATTATTAAATTGCAACTTCAAATTAAATTAGGGTTTTCACTTTATGCTAAAAAAGCTTCTTTTTTGACAATTGAGATTGTTTTTAACATATTTTTGGCAATTTTAGTCCATTTTTAATTAAAAATTATTAAAAAATCTCACTCGAATTATATTTTTTAAAATAGCTTTTTAAATTAATGAAATTAAGGAGTTTAAATGGATCAAAGTTTGTTATTGGTAAAATTTATTGTTTAATATATACCAATTTCTAATATTTTTTTTATTGTGTCAAAAAAATAATATAAAATGATGTTTTGATAAGATAACTGAGCTCAAATATACTATAAATCTAAAATATTTAGTCTATGAGAAAAGGCCAATCACCAAATTATTTAATATCAATATATTCTTCAAATATGTAATGCAAAACTAAACTATATGTCATTATTTATTTGAAAAAAGCATTAATAGATACACGTTTATTAAAACATGTAATTAAATGATAATTTATTATTGCTCCTTTTAATATATGGCCTTACAACTTTAATAGCTACATAAATAAAAAAAATTTGTCTTTGGTAAAACATTAAATTTTATACAGCTAAATTTACTAATACATGATATTTTATCTTTAATTTCCGAAGCTTTATCTTAAATTTACTTATACATGAAAAGGTTGGAGTAGCTCCAGTAGAAGATAAGATTAGAGAGTCGCCTTAGATGGTTTGGTCACATAAAACGGCGGCCTTCCGATGACCCGGTTAGGAGAGTAGATGTATTAGATTTGACTTATGTTAAAAAAAAATAGGGGTAGACCTAAAAAGACTTGGTTAGAAATATTATGAATGACCTTTCTTTATTAGATTTAAACGAGAATTTGACTTTTAATAGGGCACAATGGAGAAAAAGGATTCATGTAGCCGACCCCACGTAGTGGGATAAAAACTTGATGTTGTTGTTGTTGTTGTTGTTCCGAAGCTTTATCAACAAATAAATAAGTTCAAATATGATATTCATCTCAAAATAAATTCAATAACTTTCATAATAATATGGGGGTAAAATTATCCTGTGCGGATATAGACGCCATCCGGAGGCGAATAAGAGCACACCACATCACCCATTTGTTGTGTATCAAATGACGAGACACGCTCTAATTTGCCTCCGGAATATCCGCACAGAATAATCTCTTTCATGGGAGTATTCCAAGCAAGAAAATAATAATTAAAATTAACTAATATTTTTTTAATTAGGCAAAAAATGGCCCTATTAGTTTCTCTTTCTCTCTCTGATAATCATCACCAACTTTGGTTTTAGAAAACACAAAATGATTACCAACTAAGAGCAGGATGTTTAGCACACAGATGCAGAGAGAATGCAAGGACTGAGAAGCTCTAAGCAAATTGGGGCTGTGGGGATTCCAAATACCTGAGTTGAATCTGGCGCTTTGGAAATACCAATAATAATTCATTTAAATGCGGGTATATCATCAGTTCACAGACCAATAGAAAGCTTCAACACAGCAGCTAAAGGTAATTTCAGAGTCTGATTGAATTGATTACATATGTTAAGGGTAGTGCAGAACAATACCTTTCTATGAAGGCCAATATAAAGCTAAATCACACACTTTTGAAGGTGATAAAATGTGGGAGAAATTGTTTCCTTGTTTCTTTATGCTTCTCCTACTTGTTCTCCTGTATATAAGTTCAATGGAACATGAGAAAAAAAAAAGGAAAAGAAAAAAAACGAAGAAATATAGCATTATATAGAAAAGACATTATACTAAGATTTTACTTGGGACGGCTTTCTTACTGCTTTTAAAATAGCTTTTTAGTTCAAAATTTTTAATTTTTGAACTAAAAAGTTGCTTTAAGAAGCAGTAAGAAATCTATCCCAAATGAAATCTAAAAGCACGAGAAATGTAAATTAGTTATGAGTTGCCACCTGTGACTCGGAAGCAGCTGTTAATCTCATCGATAAATATGCACAACAACGAGGGAAGGTGGATGAAAGTCGCTTGCAGGCCTTACAGATCTAAACTTCTCTCAGTCATTTTGCAAATCTCTAACAAGATTTTTCCACTGGACTCTGCTTATAGAATAAAAAATAGCTCCCTCTAGTTGAATCACTTCAAAATGAGCTTCCAATCTCTAATTACAGCATGTAATAATAAGTGCACCATTTTTCCTGCAAAGCCAAGCTTCATTAATGTAGGTTAAGGAGGCGGCAAACCTTGCGTTTTCATCATACAATAGTATTTCTTAGGAATTCTTGCACCAGCCTGCAAGCAAATTTCAACGACAGCCGGTGCATGCCCATAAAATCCGCGGCCAGCGTCTGATAGTGTTGGAGGATCACAGGGCCTTCGATGCCAAACCAACTTCAATGGCACCAAATCGCTGACCTCCGCTTTTTTCCACATATGAATTCCTCTCCAGCCTTCGTATTTAAACACTCCGCATAGCCTGGCTTTGTGCCCTGATGGTCCAATGTGAACTTCTGAACAATGTCGGCAAACTTTAGCAGGGTAAACCATCAAAAGCTTCTGTACTCCTAGCCTCAGCCTTTCCCAAGCATCCATTGTGTTCTGAGCAATTTGACTGATCTCTTCAGCCTTGACATCACTCCAGTTATCTGGAATGGGATTGGGATTGTGCAGGATCTCATTAGAAATGTCAGCCCCTGCCTGATAACACAGTTCCAGTACTGCTGGAACACGGTCGAAGTCAAATCTCTGGTCATGTTTGATGATTTTTTGAAACATGGTATTCAAGTGAAAGGCTTCCACAGGAACAAGGATATCATTGATGTTACCATCAACCCACTTGTGCATACCTCCATTGATGTTCCGTTTGAAGCTATGGCAGGTTTTGATCTCATGGCCACTACAACCTATGAAAATTTCAGGGCAGAACCTACATCACGTATCATGCAAACCATATTCAGAATTTCAAGCTTATAACAAGGAGAGCGTTTTTCATAATCATCAAAGTTCATCATGCAAAAACATTTTTGGTTTTCCCTTGTTTGGACTTTGTTTCGGTTCTCCTTGAACCGACCAAACCGGCCCAACTTGGGCCGGTTCACGTCTATAGGAGGTAGGTTAAGCCACCTCCTTTGAAGTGCCGCACAAGCATGTGGGCCCCCCACTAGGCCGGCAAATAGAGAGAGGGTATTGGACAACTAAAGCACATGGAGGCTATTTTGAATTTGGTTTATTTTAAGAAGCTTTTTATTAGGAAGATATGTATTAAAAGAGGAGAAGTTATGGTTAGGGCATGCATGCTTACTGTTTTCTCTTGGAATTCTCTTTGGTGTTTTGGGCTCTAGATTCACAGTCTAGAGATTGAGACAGAACTATCCTACTCTCGAATAGAGGAACAATTGTATCTTTGCTTGTTCTTGCTTTTGATTTGATTCCTATAATAAAATCTACTTTTTTTGGGATTGTTTTCATTAGAGATCTTGAGGTTTTTTTTGCAATTTTCACCAATTATTATTATGTTTGCTTGCAAACTCAAGTATTTCCCTTTAGGGTTACTTGCAAACTCAAGTATTTCCCATCAGACTTTATATAGTCTCATAAGATATACTATAGACCATCAGCAAATTTGTGATGTCAACCTGGATTTACAATCTAATCATGAGAAAGAAAGTAAAAGACTGAAATTCCAGTCTGTAGATATATAAGACATGCAGTAACAAAATTGCAAGAAGAATGGATTGTCATAATTAGAAACCAGCCTAGCGGCTTAAGAACTTATATGCATACAAAAGAAATACGCTTCATCTACAAACATAAGAGGCATTAAGATTAAAGTTACAAATGGATCATATCAAAATAAAATGTTCCTTAACCTTTCTAAACAGAGTTAGGGCCCAATTCGTAGAGTACATAATGCAATTTCACATGAAAAAAGTGCAATGGATCCATGACCGAAATGACAAGCTGAAAGCAGAGCTAAGGGACTATTCAATCTTTTCAAATGCCAAGAACTCAACTGTAAAACCATAAGTCAAATAAATTTGTAATCTACACTTCTTTTTCCTGTCCATCTCAAACAATTCAATTTCAATTTTATCATCGTTCTATGTTGACTACCGTTGATGTTGTATAGGTCACTATAAAGTACCATATGATTAGAATTAAGGTCCGCGAGTTATTAATGCAGAACTACCATGATGTGTGTAATGTGAACAAAATCACGTGACTACATTTGAATTAAAGTCTCAAGTTGGACAATTATTATTTCTTGATAATGCAATATCCTTGGCCAGTGACTACCTTGACTTGGTTTTGTTTCTGTGTTGAGAGGTGACTTTTTGCTGCTTGGGCGGTGGTTTCTGGAATTAGTCTTAGATTTTGTTTTCTTGTGGTCGGCCTTTATCCTGAATCCAACTCGTTCTATCTCTGGTTATAGGATATAAGCGTCCTGGCATTGGGGAAACACAATTTCTCTGGGTGGCACGTGATCGGATTTTATCTTTTCTCTACAACTAAGTTCATCCATGGATAGCAGTGACGGGGTCTTAATTGGTGGGTAATGGGATTGGATTCGCCGTTAAAAAAATTGGAACAAGTTATTATCGCTTAGAGTTTAATTTAATCTTATATTAAGTTGGTCATTTGTTAACTTCATACGCTAGCCTATGGTACGAGTAGTTGAGACATAATTGTTCTGAAGCATGTAATTAATTACTTTTGGCTAGAATTAAGTTTCTCTTTTCAATTTCAAGCTTTTAAGTGCAAATTGAATGCGTAGTTCCTTCAAGTGTGGTACATGTGAGATTAGATAATTCCAAAGTAAGTGATCTCCTCCTAACAGTATAATACCAAATTTTCCTTCAATATTTTTTTTCTTTGTTTTATTTTATTTATATTATTTGATATTAACTCTTTAGTGCTTTTGATTTAGAAAAAAAAAAGGTTATTCGTTGAAAATCTAATTCTTGGAAAGGCCTGGTTTTATGCATTTCTCAAAATTTTGTCGAAATTCTGAGGTCATTTCAATTTTTTCATTATGGGATGATTCAAATTCCAATATTGCATATTTATATTCAAAAAAGGTAGTTGAATTTAATTTTTTATCCATAAATTCTCAAATTTCTTTACATAAAATCATACTACATATCATATTAGTTGCATTAGAAAATCTAAGCCCCGAGAAATCAAACAGCAAATTAATATCTAAGCTTTAGGTTGTGCCATAATGTCACACACAAATGGCTTAAAATATTACAGTAACTTAACAAATCATGAAAGCTATGGAATCTTAATAAATTTGCAAACTCAATTAGTTGACCTATTGAATAAACAGAATGAAAACTATGATGATATTAAGTTGATTAAAAAAAGAAATGATAATTTGGAAGCCAATCAAGTTCATAAACATAACTTTAAAAAATCAAATCACAATGATAAACCAATTCATTTGAATATTAATTCTGATAAAAGTCGGGTAATCATCATGATAGACAATTCAAAGTCTTTAATAATCATGCTAAAGAAAATCATGAATGTCAAACTTTTTATGTAGATGATGAAAAATAGAAAAGATAGAATTAAGGTGCTTACATATGATGGTAAAATCAATGTTAAAGCTTTTACTGATTAGTAACTAGATATAAACAATTTCTTTGAATGGCAAACTATGATGGATGAATGAAAAATAAGATTAAGTGGCCAGCTAAATTTATAAGATAAGTATGGAAAATAAAAGAGAAAAATTGGAAGAGAAATGACTAGGGTGTCAATAAATAACCCGAACCGCCGGCCCAACCTAAACCACTAAAAAAATATAGGTTTGGGTTGACCTGTTTAATAAACGAGTCCCATTCGGATTGGGTTTTCTGACCTATTTATCAAACGGGTTGGATTCGAGTTGACATGCGAAATCGCTTTTGAGTATCGTTAAATATCTTTTTTTTTTTCCTTTTTTTTACTTATGGTTATAAACTTCTTATTTTTTATCAAATATCCTAAATTTTATGGTTAGCAAGTTATAAAAAAATTTAACCAAGTTTTAGGTTGTTCGGGTTGAGCAAGTCAGGTTCGGATTGATCTTTTTGGCTTGTTTATTAAACGGATTAGGTTGACTAGATTCAGGTCGAACCTCGAACCAACCAATCAACCCATTTTGACACCCCTAAAACTAACAAAAAACTGAAGAAAAATTAAAGAACTTTAAAAAAAAACATTTGAATTTATTACATTACAATATATGACTTGATAGATTTAATTCACTAAAAAAGGCATTAAAGCTATGATTGAATCTACGAATAAATTTAAAATCAGTAATATTATATTTTGAGATTAATAAAATCCAAAATTCATACTCTCTAGGTTTAAGTTTGGTTTAAGATCTGATATCAAGAGAGGAATGACACCTCGCGAGAATTCATCACTTTAACATGCTTTCCATTTGGCATTAGACTTTGAATTAATGATGAAATTTTCTAAGTCTAAAAAAGTTATTATGTATTCTAGAAGTGCATTTTTTTGTCAAAATCCGAACTTAATATGTTGCACTACAAAACATAAGGAAGAAGCACAACCATTAATAAAGACAATGAGGTACAGAAGGATTGGTTATTCTTGAACCATTAATAAATTGATTTCTTCTTATGCAACGTGTTTTATGATTTTGGAAACACAAATCGTACTTTATTAGTATCTCAATTTTCACCTCTTCCAAACCTACTTGAATCTCAACCATCAAAATCTCAACTTTTCAAAGATCGGAGACAATGAGCAAGTTACAAAGAGGTTATTTATTCCAGACAACAAGAAAATTCAACCAACATAGGAAACAGCAAGGTACAAGGAGCAAAGCATTTCTCCTAGACCATACCCAATATCTGACCAATATTTTAATATTGATTCACAAGAACAAGGTAATACTAATTTTGATTATTATTAAACATACCTATTGCTGCTTTTAGTAAAAAAATAAGAAATTGCTCCAATTACCCGATTAAGCATCATATGCCCTACAAAAAAAAAATATCTTCAATGATCTATTCCTTCACTACACTTCTTTCAAGCAAAAAATTATAAAATAATATTCAAGAGGCCTTAAAGCATCTGAATGAACAAATGAAATTCATAAAAAAATTCAGGCCATTGAATCAAATTGTAAGTGGAATCTTTAAAATCTTCTCAAAGGATAGAAACCACTTGAATGCAAATAGATCTTCAATTTAAAAGACATCTAATAGAATTGCCGACCAATACAAAGCAACATTAGTGGCAAAAGATTTCATTCAAACATATGAGTTGATTATAAAGAAACATTTGCCCCACTTGCTAAGACGAATACTATCAGGTTAATTTTTTCTTTTGCTGCTAATTTACATTAACTCAATCAACTAGATGCGAATAATGACTTTTTAAATGGGAATTTAAGATAGAACGTCTACATGATAATTTCTCCTAAATTTGAGAGTAAGAGCAATATGAAACAAGTCTAAAGATTAAAAAAAACTATATATGGCTTAACAATCACCAAGAGATTGGTTTAAAAAGTTCACCACGGTGATTAAAAGGCAAGAGCACTCTCAGGGATAGCATGAATACATTTTACTTTCAAAGAATTTATCTGAAGATACAACTTATATCCTAGTTGTATATTTTGATCATATGATCTAGTCTAGATAAAAAATCACGGAGAATAATAAATAGAGGCTAAAAAGTGTCATAGCTAAAGAATTTGAAATCAATTACCATAGTTTATTAACATATTTCCTAGGCATGAAAATAGCAAGATAAAGTAGAGCGACGTCTGTCTCGCAATGAAAATACATATTGGACTTACTAAAATAAACTGTTATGCTTGGGGTGTTAACCCACAAACACACAAATAAATCCTTAAAAAAGTTGGGAGTAAGTAAGATTCTACCTCAGTTAACAAAGAAA